TCCCAGGGAGGATCGCTGTTCTAGAAACTCAGGCTGCCGTGGGGTTGAGCAATGTGTTTGCTTCCACTGGGCACAACACGGTGGCAGGGGTCACATAGAGACTCAGCTGGTGGTGAGCGCTTCCATCAGTCTGTCTGAGGCAGAGTGGTTTCTGGGAGTTTGAGGATATCTACAGAGGACAGCAAAGCTGCAGATACACACATCAGCTGTAGACCCTGTCCCCAAGTGCTCGGTGGAATGAATGGCTGAGCTAATGAGTAAGAGTGGTTCCCAGGCCCTCAGAGATAGGGAGCTTGGGGCTGCTCTTGCAGCTTTGCTGGCCAGCTCAGCTCTCCTCATTCCTCCCTCTTCAGAAAGAATGAAGAGACATTTTGTTCATACATCTCCTTTGGCCCGAGCATCAAACTGCCTCGTGGGTTCTAAATCAACTGTGTCTTTTAAGGGGCTAAAGCAAAATGCATGTTAGTTATTACTCTCTCTGCCAAACTCCATAGCAAGTACCTTGAGAGCTCTATATTCCGTCCTTCATATCCTAAATGTACCAACTAGTGACATTGTCCAGCTCAGGGTTTTGCATAGAGTTAAAATTTGCTGAGTAGCTGAGCTGCACTAAGGGACAAGACCATGTCTTGCCTTCTCTTCTTGCCTTTTCTTGATGATCCTGGTTTCTGCCTATTTTTTCATAGCTTAATTTAGAGAAGTTTGTGAATTTGGATGAGAAGACATTGTATTTTTATTTTTCACACAGCTAGCTGAAATTTAGCATTCCCATCAATTATGAAGGCAAACAACAGGAGTATTAGCAGTACCTGAAACTTTCTCCAACTAAGATCACAGGTATTTTTATATTAAATTAGTTATGAAAATACTTAGAAATGACATTTATGCATATCAGCACATCGGAATGACTGTAGTAAGACTTGTTGCTAGATCTTGTTTTTTAGTGCATTCATAAAAAATACATACTATGTAAGCTTTTATATATTTTGTAACTATTTAATTGGTTTCTTTTGTAACACTATGTATTTTATTTTATGCCTTCAAAAACATTTTGAGCCCAGCCAGTGTGGCTCAGTGGATTGAGTGTCATCCCATGGACTAAGATGTTCTGGGTTCGATTCCCCATCAGGGCACATGCCTGGGTTGTGGGCTTGATCCCCAGTATGGAGTGTGCAGGAGGCAGCCTATTGATGTTTCTGTTTCTCTCTCATATAAATTGTTCTGTCTCTCTCTCTCTCTCAAAAAAAATAAATTAATTAATTAATTAAAAAAATTGTTTTGAGAAGAGGTCCATAGGCTTCACCAGACTGCCAAAGGGGTTCCCTGCACACAAGGTCAAGGCCCCGCTTACACCGTGCCTTCTGGAGTCTTGATTTGGGGTCGGTGTCCAGTGGGGCTGGGCGCTAATCAAAGCAGCTTTGGGACAAGGTGGGGGCGAAATGAATGAAACCTTTCTAGTCTTAGAAAGCCTCTGACGGTGTGAAGAGAGGTGCTGCCCACTAGCGGTGGGAATGTAGAACTATGAGACTGCTTACAGCACAGGCCCTGGGACAGGGTTGGTGAGGTTGGTCACGTTTCTTGGTACTTGTGTCTGAAATTAGATACGAGAGGCGACAGGTGGTTTTACCCCTCCCTACAACTCCAGCTTCGTCGCTCGAAACATCTCTTCCTTGTTCTCTGTGCTCCAGCCATGTTCTCTTTCAGTGTCTGGAGGCTTCCTCCTGCATTCGGGTGTTAATACAAGCTGTTCTCTGCTGGACTGCCCGTCACCCCATCTGGATAACTACACTCTCCCTCCATATCTGGGTCTCTACCCCTGAGCCTCCAGTCCAGGCCGGGCTCCTCGATAATCCTCCCATAGATCTGTGCCCACAGCTTGTTCTCCTTGGGGGGTCTTTTCATTTATCATTTATTACTGTACTAGACTATAAAAACCCCAAGGGCAGGCAGGGGCTGTTTGCTTTTGTTTTCTGCCGTATCCCCTGTGCCTGCGCAAGGGCACTCAGTCAAAGCTGACTAACGAAGAGTGAATTTGAATTGGAAAAATCATAAAGGGACTGTGAATGCGAGCAGAATGGATTTAGGTCCATGAAAAATAAGGTCAGATGGCCTCCCTCCACTGGGACACCTCATGACTGCCAAGCCTCTCCATACTGCTAGAGGTCCTACTTACACCAGGAACAGGACTCACCAGGATTTCACAGTAGGAACAGTGAAGCAAGACTGACAGACCGGGGAGACAGACGACCTGGGGTCAGATCCTGGCCTTGTTGCTTCCTTCCTGGGTGACCTCAGCCTCTTTTTGCCTCAGTTTCCTCATCTGTAAAATAGTGAAAATAATAGAACTTCTGGCCTAGGATGGTTAGGGATGCTAATGAGGTAACATAAGGAAAGCACTTAGCAGATAATAAGTACTGATCATATGGTACCTAAAGGAATAGTCAGTCCACTCCCTACCCTCTAGAGAAGCACCGGATTTAGAAAGGGAGGCAGCCTTGTAGCAGGGTTGGGTCTGGCTCCCATTCTTCCCCCTGCTCTGTCTTGGTTGGAATATTCCTGGGAGCCACTAAGAAGCAAAATTTAGAGGCAGAGCCCTGGTTGGGTGGCTCAGTTGGTTGGAGTGTTGTCCCACACACCAAAAGGTTGCAGGTTCAATTCTGTTAAGGCACTTATCTGGGTTGCAGATTTGATCCCCAAGAGACAACTGATCAGTGTCTCTCTCGCTCTCTCCCTCTTCCTCTCTCTAAACATCCTTGGGTGAGAATTAAAAATAAAAATAAAACACATGTAGAGGCAGAAGGTTCTTTCTTATAGCTTGGCTGCATCCCTGCCTATGCGTCCACGTCTTCGCCTCCCTCAGGGTGTGCTGAGTGTGCTGCCCTTGCAGAGAGGCCTGTGCTGTAAGTCATGATTTCCTTCTGGTCTTTTCTACCCTTACAGCCTTGGCTAATTCTTCCCCAGAGATTTATAATCAAACTAGTTTGCTCTGGCTTCAGATGGAATTACAACATTGGTAACATACTCGGCACAGGATTTCACAGAACATATTAGTGCTCAGTAAATATTGGTTATTTCTTTATTAGAAAACAGTGGATTGTCCCAAAAGTGCAATCCTAGTCTGCCCTCTTCACTTTATAACATTTGCTAAGCACCTAACACAACATCTGGCACTTAAAGGCTTTCAAGAAATATGCGTGTGGAGAGGATGAATGAAAGAACTGATGCTTATTTTCCTCCTCCAGGCCCAGTTGGGCTTTGTAGTGCTTGACAGTCCTCTGTTCCACACAGTAGCCACTAGAGGGCAGGAGAGGTTAAGACAATAATCAGGACCAGTGAGACCCAGAAGGACTGGGTCGACAAGAGAGGACCATGGAAGGAGAAAAATGTTAGAATGATTGAAAAAAAGCCAGTTGTTTTTTTTTTTATCTCTTGGGGACCAAACGGAAGGAAATTTGTAGCCAGAGAGATTGAAGTTAGACTTTAAGAAGAACTTCCAATGCACAAAGTTTGCTAACTAGAGATTTTATAGGAGGTGACTATTATTATTATATATTTTTTTTAGCCCTTTAGCTACATCCGCCCAAGCAGAATAGATGAGAAGGTGGTCTGAGGCCTGTGTGATCCAAAAGGTCCTCTTAAAGTGTCTGCCTTTAATGACTCCATTCTTGCAGATGCAATTGTAAAATACCTTTATTGGTCAGGATAGCCACCACTCATGCTTTTCCTGTAATAAGTATCCTTTATAGAGGCACGATGGTGTTCACATGCAGATGCTTTCTGAAGAGCCCTGGGGCGGGGGGCAGCCTTGCCCCTCACATCAGAGCTCCTTTGTTGAAACTAGCTGGTTTGGCTTTTGTGGATTTCAGGGTCTGGAGCCAAGAACATAGTCCAAGGATACCCCCTTCACTTCTTGGGAAAGCTGCTTCAAAATACACAGAATCAGGGACATAATGGCATCTGGGCAAGGGCCAGGCTAGGGCTATCTCTCTTCCAGCAGTCCCTGCCCCGGGCTTCCCAGATGGCTCCATCCCTATGGTGCCCCAAAGAGAAAGAGGGTTAAGCTCCATGCAACATTACCTTTCAGAAATGGGGAGAATTCAATGCTCTCCAGCCAAGCTATAAAGCAACAGGCATATTCAGTAATGAGGGTGCAGCTCACAGATGCAAAAATAGAGAGTTTTATGCTCAGCACAAGAAAGAGTTGGCTGCCTAGCCTGGGAGCATGTCCAGCCAGAGCTGGTACCACAGAACTGTGGCCTTAGGACATATCAGTTAATGGAGGTGAAGCACAGCCTCCTCCTTAGGCTAGCAGGCAGGTCCAGGGCTGGTTGGAATCTGTCTCTCCCATCATGATGGAGACCTTCATGCTTGGGTAAGAGGAGAGGCCACATGACCTTTCTCAGGCTTTGAGAAACACATGGTCTCCCCTTTGAGGACAACGACCAAAGTAGGGAGCTGCTAGCAATGCAGAGAGTGTGGGACAGGAATTAAACTACTGGGAAGCCTCCTCAGTCCAGCCTATTGAGTCTGACCTTTCCTCTTTTGAAGTCTGATCTACCTTCAAAGAACTGTCTGGCTACTAAATATAGTCCCACACATTTATCTAAACCTAAGGTTGGTTGTCTCCTTCCACATCAGGCCCTGAATGCATCACCTTACTGGTGACCTCAAGTGTGGTGGCTTTCAAGGAGTGAGGCCAGGGAGACGCAGAGGTGACTCTTGGTGTCTTTCCAATTTGAGACACAAGTGTGGGTTCTCTGGCAGGCAGACGCCCGAGTGCCTTGGGGCCTCCTGTCTCTGCTTAAGGCATAGAAGAGCTGCCTGTGGAGCAAGCTGACTGGACGAGGTGGTGTTGAGAGGAGGCAGCTGGACAAGAGATACAGTCTGAGGGGCAGCGAGTGCCAGCCCAGAGGAACCGCATGGCCAGCCCCAAGCGTGGGAGAGCTGTCATCGCAGCTCACAGAGGGTCGGGGATTTTTGGAAAAGTGGGTTATGTACTTTCCCCAAGCAATTTTTAAAGTTCATAGCACCAGATCATCGGGAAGAATTTAAGGGTAGTGAGATTTCTGAAGCTGGGGCTGTCAAGGATTACTCCCTCGGCTGCATTCTGTCCTAGGAAAGAGCGCTTGGGAGGTGTCCCCCAGCAGAAAGCTTCCTGTCCCCGCATCCCACCTGACCCTGCCTACAGCGAAAGAAGACTACAGGGGGAGCCCCTGGAGTTCTGTCACATGGTCTGTCCTAGACCTTCCAACAAAAGCCAAACCAAACCATCAAGCCAAATGCAGTGGGGCGTGGGGGCCCTGGGCCCCGCGCCCAGTGCGAGGGCCGCTCAGATCTCGATGAGGCTGGCCAGGCGCAGACAGAGGGGCGCGTCCACCGGCATAGCGTTACGCTGGATCTCGTTACCATCCAGGCGCAGCACCTGCAGCTTTGAGAAGTTCACGACGTCCACCACGGTGCAGAAGCTGCTGATGGAGAACTCTGTGGGGACAAGAGGGGCGGAAGTGGGTGGGAGGAGCCCGGATCAGAGACCCGGATCTACGGCAGGGCCAGACAGCCCGTGAAGCTGCTTGATGCCAGGGCTGGAACTTGGCCAGGACTGAAGTCATGCTGACTTGCACCACTAGGCAGGCAAAACTAGGGCCAACTTGGGACTTCTGTTGTGGCTGCAGCTTCGCCTCCGGCCCACCCCTAGCCTAGACAGTACTCTGCAGACCCTGGGATGTCCTTGAGTGTTCTTCCAACCAGGACCTGCTGTCTTACCACCTGTGTGCAGCAGGGGGAGCAGAAGGAAATCAAAGCCCGGCTCTAGCAGCTCTGAAGTATGGGTAGCTTTTGAGAGGGCTTTGCTAAATTGCTTTGAGAGGAAGACAAGGGAAATGGTGGGGGGGGATGGGGGGGTGGGGGGTGGGGGTGGGGGCTGGGGCTTAAATCTGGAATATCTCCTGCCACTTTGCAGACGGAGAAAGTGGCGGTAAATTAAAGTGAGATCTCCTGGGCGGAGAGACAACGGTCTGCACGCCAGAGCTGTGAGGGGCTGTGCGTCTCCCTTCGGAGCACGGCCGGAGTGAGCACAGCTCTGCGGGAGACGAACAACCACAGGCGAAGGAGGCTGCTATGAACCTCAACAGTCAAGTGCATAATTCCCCTGCCTCCTGCATGTTATATGATTATGGATTATCTCTTTTTTTTTTTTAACCTCAAAAGAATGTTCCCCTTTTGAAACTTTCCCCCTAAACCATGTAACCCTAATAGGTACAATAGTTCTGTTTGGTTTTAACAAATCCCTCTGCTGCCTTTCGCCCTCTTCTCCCTCTGGTCATCCTCCTAGACACGTAACCACCTCTGTCTAGCGTCTACTGGGTCAGGAACTGGAAAGGAGAAAACCAAGAACGCAGTTAAAAGTCCAGCAGGGACAACGAAAGTCATCACTGAAAATCTCCGAGGCCTCTTGGGCTCCGGCAACGCGGAGCGGAAGAGCTTGAGGAAGATCGCTGATGTGAGTGATGGTTCCGGTTGGGTCCTAAGGGCAGGATCCGCATGGTACATCTCCAAGACTGTCTCACGCGGGCTGACCCAGAGCGGGGCTTGCTTTGGCATCCACCCGAGGTGCTCCTCCGCTTGCGATGGTGGTCAGGAGCTATGCCAGCCTGAAGCTGGGCATCGGGAGTGGGAGGAAGGCTTTCTGACTCTTTCCAGGGGCGATGGTGGAGGCAGAGTGGGGGGAAAGACAATGGGGGTGAAATGAAGGTCACAAGGAAGACAGTACAGAGAGCTTACAGGCCAGTGAAGAACATGTTTTTAAATGAGCACCATCAACGGTTTTCAGTCTCAGTTAGGAACTGACCAAGAGAAGACGGGGTGAGGCTGCAGCCAATTAGCTTGTACTGTAAACAGAAGACAGAAAATCCAACCCTGAAGTATAATGAGACTCTGGGCATAGCAGGGAGATGAGAAATGCCCTTCTCTAGAGAGTACTATGGTAGGGAGAGAAAATCTGAAATGCTTTGGGGATGTACCCCTTCTGGTCCTGGAGAATAGACCAAGTGGACTCTGAGTGGGCAGGTTGGGGTACGAGCAAATGCCAGGGACTGGGTCTGTGATGTCCGCATAGAAGCAGTGGAGTGGGGTGGGCTGGAGAGAAGGAAAGTGTAAGTATAATATCCAGCCCTATTCGGACTGTGCTGGAGGTCCCAGGATACAATCTCTACCCTCGCCTGGAGCCCTCGGACCATCTGTTCAAATCCTGGATTCCAACTCTGCACATATAAATATGGGGATACTTGGGGGCTGCTGGACACACAGTGTATGTAGATTCTATCCACATGTTGGGTACTGTGAGCCCCCCTGTGTTTCTCCTACAAGTTCATTAATAGTACAGGGCTCTTTTGCTTGGAGACTCAGGACACTTTCCAGACCAGATTAAAAACTGACATAAGTCTTTCCAAATTCCTCCTGCTGTACCCGCCCTGCTCCACTGGATCCCAAAGCTACCGAATACAGTCCGAGCTGTGTTTCCTTGCTGTTGCCAGGCTGGAAAAACTGAGGGAGATGCTAGTGGAATAAGGAAGAGGAGGGAGAGGGCAGGCCTTTCCCCCTGCACACCCTTTAGTTCCTGCCCTTCTTTTGGATCCTCCCGCAGAGGATTGCTGCATTTCCACCTGCACCCCCACCTCTGGTCCCCAACTGTCTGTGCAGAGGGGCCTGTCACTCGCCCTAGGAGAGGCGCTAAGCTTGGGCAACTATCTTCCCTGCTGGTGATGTGAATCAGAGAGATAATCCTCACATTCTCAGCCAGAGACGCCTGGCTCCAGGTCCTTGGACAATGAAAGCAGGGGTTCGGGGTGCTATACTACATAGTCTGAGTAACCTGGAGAGACTGCTTTTCCTTCTCTGTCTCAGTGTCCCCATGTTTGCAATACAAAAAGTAAAATAAAACAAAATTATGCCTGCTAATTTCAAAGTGGCAATAAGAAGAAGAGCTAATAATAATAAGAGTAATTGTGCATTGCTTTTTCAATTATGGGCCAGGCCCTAGACCAAGCACTTCCTGTGTATTAATTCAATAATCAGAAAAATAAGGACTTGGTGTTATTTTGCCTAAAGAGAAGATTAGGAGAGATACGAATAAGTAGACCAAGAGAATTTGGCTTAAATTGTACAAGAAGGGATTTGGGGTAGACACTGAAAATTTGGGTTTTTTTTTTTACTACAGGGAGAACTTTCTAGCAAGACCTTGTGATGCTTTACTAAAGTCATTTTATCTTTATCAGAGCTTTTGGAAAGGGTGGACCCCCTAATATTTGAGCAGCAGATGTGGTTCTGCATGAGGGCAGAGTGCTGCTGGATGCTGTGATGAGGTCATTTCCACCCCAGGTGTCTCTGATTGTATAGTTAGGCAATAACAGATGGGTTTGCACCCATGACAGCTGCTCTTTGCTGTCACATTTTCAAGATCAAACTCTGATGAAGCACAGCATACAATATGCTACAATATGACATTTCTGATGTGAAAGTCCTGGATTCAGAATGGGTGGCAGGTAAGTAGTGGTGACTCCTGGGTGGGATGAAGGAGACTAGTGGAATGATGGGACAGCTACGGGTAAATGTCAAACCCTCCGTGTCATAGAGACGTCTTAGAGAACCATCCCTGTTGGAATGAGAAGACCTCCAAAGTAAGAGAGGCTTGAAAGACAAAACAGTTTGCAGTGCACATGATGGAGTCTTGCACTTCGAACTAGAGGACCAGACACCTCATTACCTTTCTAGTCCCACTGTCAATCTCTGTGACTGGGGCCTCTCTCACTCAGAGGGCTGTCCAGCTCATTAACATCTTGCCAGATGACTGGTCTATTCCCTAGCACGGGGAGAAAAAGGATCAAGGGAAACAGGGTGACTACTCAGTCTCTACAGGGGCTGTTCACTCTCAGCAGACTCTACTACAAAGCCCTTTGCGAGTGGTCATGAGTGAGTCTTTCTTTCCCCAGGGAGAGTGGGACTTTGTTGACAGAGGAAGTGAGGTTAAATGCTGGTTCAGGACCTTCCAATTAGTATTAAGACATCAGAGGTCCTGGAGTAATGTAAGTGCATTCTGAACACAGATTCTGAGGAGGAGCTGAAAAACAACTAGATAATCCAAGCTGAAATGAATGTTTTAGTTCTTAGAGGCAGAGAAGCAGCTCTTTTGGTTCCTTTAGACATCTGCAGGGAAGTGCTTGGAGAACAAGAAGCCCAGTGTCCTTGCCCTCCACTCCAGGGCTTTGTGATGGTCAGGCTCATGTTTTCCTAGGGGAACCTCTGCCCTGCCTCCAGGGGGTCCTTGAAGTCCAGGGAGAACAGCCAGAACAAGTATCGCATTCAGCACTGAGAGGCTTCACATTCTTGTTCACCAGCTGTTAAGTTTGAGAAACAAATAAACACCCAAACACAAGACCAGGCTGTAGAGGCAAGAGTAGATCGTGTGGAAACAGAGAACTCATCTTCTTCTGGGTCAGTGAGTAGGTACAGATGCCATGGTTTCTTAGCCCACCTTCCTCCCGGGATGGATCCTAGAAGTTCAACTTAAATCCCTTCTCTCTATAAACTGCCACTCCCAAACTTTCCCAGGCTAATACCTCACTGCTGCTCAATGCATGACCCCTTCCTCTCAGACACATGAAGTTCCTGGCTGTCCCCTACAGGTGACTGGTTCCTTTGTTAGTGGCAATTTGTCTTCCCAGAATGGCTTTTTCCTGAGTTCCTCTGGCCACTTATCTCTCAAGACCTAGATTGAAACTTACCTCTTGTGGGAAGTCTTCTTACCAACCCATTCCCCCACTGAATTTTAGATACACTGCCGTTTAGTGTAGGTGTAAGGCTTGGTTTCCAGGTTGCTTTATTTGGGCTCTCTAGTTGCCCTATTGCTATTTCTTTTTTGTTGCCTCTAGCACTCAGAAGAGGGTCTTTCCAATGAAATAGACAGCCACTCCCCATACCCCTTTGTCAAGGTCTCACCATTGATCCTATTGCCTTGGAGGTAGAGGTTCTCCAGATTGGTGTTGACTGGGGGGATCTTCTGCAACTGGTTGTAGGAGAGATCAAGCTCAAGGAGGCTGCTGGAATTGAAGGTGTTGGAGGCCAGGCCATTGTTGGTGAGACTGTTGTGGGACAACCGCACATATAACAGTTTGGGTGACCCCCGGAAGTAGCTGTCGGGGACAGAGTAGACGTTGTTGTGCTCCAGATACAGCTGCTCCAGGGCTGAGGGCAGCCCATCAGGTACCCTTCGAAGGTGGTTGTAACTCAGGTCCAGCAAGATCAACGACCGGAGGCCCCTCATCGCACTGCCCACTTCCTGGATCTCATTGTGTTGCAGGTACAAGGCTGTAAGGTTCTCTAGCCCCTCCAGAGCATTGTTGGGGACCCGTGAGATCTGGTTGTGGTCGAGATGGAGTTCCTTCAGGGATCGAGGCAGTGGGCCAGGCATCCGGGTCAGGTTGTTGTGGTCCAGGTACAGCCTCTCCAGGTGCCTCAGCTTAGAGAAGACCTTCCTGCCCACCTTATCACTGGTGATCTGGTTGCCATGGAGAGCGATCCAGAGCAGCCCCGTGGCGTTGTCAAAGACACTTTCCTGGATGGAGGAGATCTGGTTGTTCTGGAAGTAGACGTACTTCATGCGGGAGGGGACGAAAGGCAGGTACTTGAGGTTACGGTTATCACAGTACATGGCCGTGGGGAAGTTGGGCGGGCAGTCGCACTCCTGGGGGCAGTCTCGGGGATCCGGTGGGGGTGGCGAGCCATAGGCATAGGCGGGACCTTCCTCCACCCCATAAGGGTAAGGCTCATAGGGCTCATAAGGGTAAGGTTCATAGGCATCGTAGTAGGTGGACTGCTGGCTGCGGAGGTAGTGGAACCACCAGTGGGGGTCTTCATCGTACTGGGCCCAGGAGAGGGAGCAGAGCCCTGCCAGCACCAGGACAGAGGCCCACTGCATTGTGTCTCTGCAAGAAGGGAGAGAGAACAGAGCAAGGGGGCATTAGTGAGACTCTAGGGAGGCAGAGTGGGTGAGCCTTAGGCCTTGACCAGACATGATTTAGTGCCAAACACCTGAGAATAGGAGCCTTGCTCTCACTTCCTCCTGCCTCCTCCGAGGGCTGATTCTGCACACTTGGTCCAGTTGGACCTTGGCTATCTGAGGAGAACTAGGTGCATTTCCCCCTCGTCACAGAGTCACAGACGCAGTCTTTGAGATTAAAAGAAACTTGCCTTGGCTGGTTTGCCTCAGCAGTTAGAGTGTCGGCCTGTGGACCGGAGAGTCCCGGGTTTGGTTCCCGCTAAGGGCACGTAACTCAGTTACAGTTTGCCCCCAGCCCCACTCAATGTGTCTCTCTCACATCAATGTTTCTCTCTCTCTCTTCCTCCCTCTCTCCCTCCTGCTCTACCTGAAGATGAATGCAAAAATGTCCTCGGGTGAGGATTCAAGAGAAAGAAAAAAACTTGAATGGGAGCCGGCTCCATTTTTTTGGAGGGAAAGATCCATTGCAACCTGAAGGTTCTGTTGGGGCAGCTGGAGAGCCCACAGCAATCCCTGTGGGGTGGGGGTGGGGCACTCTTCAGGCCTGAATTCACATCCAACTTGGACTCCCCAGGGACATAACATTTTCCAAGAGTCCAAGGAAGAAGCCCTGTGGCTCTTTCCATGTCTCTGGGAAACCTCCAGAAGTGGCTTGAGACCTCAAAGTGGAAGAGCTGAACTAATCCTGAAAGATCTTTCAGTCTCTTGGGCAAGCTGAGGGTTTCTGGTTTAGAGTCTTTGGGGAGGGGTGTGGTCCCACTGTAGCCACCACAAGGCTTGGGCTACCCTCCAAAGTGCCAGCGTCTAGAACAGTCTGCCGGGTGAGGAAACTCCAAGGTTAGCAGCTGTGGCTCCATGTGCTACTTGGCGGGCACAGGGCTTTTTATGTAACAGTTACAGACCCTCTCCAGACTGAGGACACTGGCTCCCAGCAGCAGCACTTGCCTTCTCGAGTGGCCGGGTGCATGGAGTCTGAGTCAGTCCACTTGCTGACCTCGGTGGAGTCTAGGAAAGTATGAACACTCTTTATGCTCCACCACGGACATTATGTAAGAGCCATGTGGGGCCAAGAGAAATGAATGGAGGAACACCAAAAAAAAAAGTAATAGGAATTGGAGATCCTCACATGTGCCTAAGGGAACGTGGCTTTACAGTGGGATTCTGTCCTTCTCCCCCCTCGATTCCACGCTCCCTGAGGAGACATCTGGGTTACCAGGCTCCACAGCAAGACCCCTACACTGGCATCGGCTTCTTGTCTTTGAGCTTATATGCTAGTGAGATAAGAACAGGCCTGGAGAAATGAGGGAAGCTGAAGGTATGGAAGATGGGTCAGGGGGTGACGTGTCAGTCCTGAGCACCTGACTCTGAATACCTGCAGCCAAAGTTTGGCAGAGCCCCTGTGAGCAATGGGCACCTTCCTGAGGTATGAGTGTCACCTTTGAATAGGGAATCCTTAGAACCTGTTTGGTCCTGGAAAAGTTTCATATATCTCTCACCTTGCTTTTGGGCATTGCTGGGGTTGGCAACTGTGGACAGGAGAAAGAAAGAAGTCTAAAAGCAAGCATCAAATCCAAGGAACCGATGGGAAGGACCCTGACTGTGACAATATCGTCATTTTGTGGCCACCACCCCTTCTGGACCTCTTTGTTCCCTAAAAGCGGTTCTTTTAGGCCAGCTTCATCCCATCAGCCTCTGGGCTGCAGAGGAGAGACACCCTGGCTCATTCTCAAGCAGCCTGCAGCCTCAGACAAAGAGCCCACAGTGTTTCCGAGAAGCCGACCCGATTGCCCACTACCTGGGCATGCTGGCTGGGCCCTGGTTCTGGCCAGGAGAGAAGACTGATGGAGCGGCCTACTGCCAGCAGCACATTTTTCCATGCACAGCTCTGGGCTGCTGCAGGACCAAGGTGGCTGTCTGGAGGCTGGCACAGTGAGCCTCTGTCTCCACTTCTCCTTCCAGACTGGGTAACCTGGCAGACAAGAGCCACCTTCCTCTTTAAGACTCAGCCTTTCAGGGGCATGCATCCTGCCCACTTTGGCCTCTCTTTAGGAACCCTGACGGCTGACAGGGTTTGGTGGGGACCTTATGCCTCTTCTTGTCCTATCTCCATCTCTCAGCAATGTTGCTCCAGGGTTGTCTACTCTTAAATTACCCCCTAATGATGGAGACCCCCCTGTGCTCAGAGTTTTGTGAGGTGGGGAGTTTCTAGGACTGGCACTCTGTGAGTTGGGGAAGCTCACTCATGAGTTATTGCTTTTCTTTCATTTTTCCACTCTGAAGGACCATCTGTCCTTCCTATCAGAGTGAGGGAGGTCAAACCGGAAGCCACCCCTTCCCTGGACTGGACCCTCACTTCACAGCTCCCTAGACATGGTAAACTCTTAACACTTCTCTTTCTCTCTCTTTCACACACACACACACACACACACACACACACTCAGACACTCACACAGTACATAAATCTCCCCTCCTCCCATGGCAGTGTTTCAATCCCACAACCCCTCTGCATGAGACACTGCAGGGACACAGGGGTAGGATGGAGGCATTTATGAGTAGGAGTAGGGAAGAGCTGGCTTCCCTTTGCTTTTCTGTGCCCGAGAACTGGAGGTCCCCCCAACAACCTGAAAGGAGCTGCAGGACAAATTATGTTGGAACACCTTTTTCTACTTCCCCTTGGCTCTCTCCAGCACCCCGGGTCATTGCCCAGAGAGGGAGAGGGGGAAAGGGCTCCTCTCTGCTGTCCTCTCCCACTCCCCAGCCCCCTTTCTTCATTTACTTTATGGAACTACAAGACACAAAAGCAAGTAAAATGACTACACTTACCTGGAATCGAACCTTTCAGAGAGTGACCACGCTGCTCTGTGGACTCCTTGGATTGAGGGAAGTGTCTGTGAGGGAGAAGGAGTGAGAATGTCTACTGAGAGTGTCCGGGTCTGTGCCAGGCCAGGGTCCCGCCCCCAAATTCCTAATCAAATATTGTGAAGAGAGGGGCTGAGGAGCCAGGATCCTGGCTTTTTCAGCTCTGCTGCAGGGGCGGAGCTCACATTCAACTGCGCAAATCCTGTCTGCCTGCCACCGAAAAACCCACCTCCTTTCCACTCACTATCTTCCCTGGAGCCCTGGCAGCATCAGGGCCTCTTTCTGCTGGATGAGTTAGTGGCGCCCTAGAACTTATTTGTACAGGCTCTTACGGAGCGCCTGGATTTTTCATTAAACCCACAAGGGCAGATGCCGGCATGGGAAGGGCCAGGATTTGGGAAGAAGCTTCTTAATTAACTCTTTTAGTAACCAGGTCTCTCCCTCCCTCCCCCAGAGCTAGTATTCACCCTTCTGGGCTCAAGCTTGCTGCGTACTAGCTCCATACTTTCAGTTACTCTTAGGGTTCCGACGCCTTGTTGGGTTGCAGCAGGACGGTATGAGATGACCTGTGAGGCACCTGGTCTCGCGCACAGCTGACGCTCACTATGTGGGAGCTGACTGCTGCTGCACCCATTTGACAGGTGTTGACACCCTGAGCAAGGGGACGATGAGGTCGGAAAAGCAAGCAAGAGATAGACCAGGAAGGGACTTCTAGGCTGTGGGATGGATTTAATTTTTATTCTAAACAAGACATGTTGTCTTGCCCTGGCCGGTTTGGCTCAGTGGTTAGAGCGTCGGCCCATGGACCAATGAGTCGCGGGTCAATTCCACTCAACACATGTACCTCGGTTGTGGTTCGTCCCCAGCCCTGGTCGGGGTCATGCAGGAGGCAACCAGGCGATGTGTCTCTCTCACGTCTGTGTTTCTCTCTCCCTCCCTCCCACTCTATCTGAAGATAAATGAAAACATTTCCTTGGGTGAAGATTAAGAAAAAAAAGACACGTTGTCTTTTAAACTACTCAGGAGAAGCAACAGGATCTGATTCACATTTCTGAAGGCACGTGGGAGAGGCTGCTGCGTGGTGAGGAGAGGCAGGGTGGAAGGGGGAGGCGCTGACTCAGCCTCGTGGAGAGGGGAGGGCAAACGGCCTCGTGCAGGGGAAGAAGGCTGTGGGTGTTTGGACAGGAAACTAACAAGTGCTGAAGATGAACTTGAAATGAGGGGTTAGGGGACTCCTAACGAGTCCTAGATTTTCAGTTTGCACCGCTGGGTGGGTGGTAGCTCCATTTCCTGACATTGGAAAGACCAGGAGGAACAGACGTGGGTAGAAAAACAAAGTATACTTTGGATGTGCTAAGTTACCTGTTAGGCATTCCCATGGAGATGTACACAGGCAGGTATCTGAGTCTGAATTTGGAGTTTGGGAGTTGTAAGAAAACATTTGGGAACCTCAGAATTTAGATCACATGTCTTTTTTTTTTTTTTTTATCCTCACCCGAGGACATTTTTTTCCATTTTTTGCACAGATAGAGTGGGAGGGAGAGAGAGAGAGAGAGAGAAACATCGACGTGAAAGGGACACATCGAGTGGCTGCCACCCGCACGACCAACCAGGGCCGGGGACAAACTGCAACCGAGATACATGCCCTTAGCGGGAACCGAACCCGGGTCTCTCCGGACCACAGGCCGATGCTCTAACCGCTGAGCCAAACTGGCCAGGGCTAGATCACATGTCTTAAATACTCTCTTCAACTAAGGCCCTCACATTCCAAGAAACACCCCCTTTTCAAAAAAATGTTAATTGTGGTAAGTTACATACAACAAAATTTACCCTCTTAGCCATTTTGAGTGTATAGTTCAGAAGTGGGAAGTATATTTGCATGACCATGTCACCAGTCTCCATAACTGTTTCATTTTTCAAAACTGAAATTCTATATTCAGTAAACAAAAATTCCCCATTTCATACTCACTCTCCCACCCCTAGATCTTGGCAACCACCATTCTACTTTCTGTTTCTATGAATTTGACTACTCTAGACACCTCATATAGGTTCAGTCATACAATACATGTGTTTTTGTGTCTTATTTCACTTAGAACAATGCATTCAAGTTTCATCCATGTTGTAGCATGTGCCAGAATTTTCTTCCTACACTACCCTGTTGTATAAATACATCACCTTTTTTCCCTCATTTCTCTGTGGATAGACATTAGGGTTGCTTCTCCGTCACTGTTGTGACGAGTGCTGCCATGAACATGGGTGTACTAATGTCCCTTAGACACTCTGCTTTTAATTATTTTGGATATACACTCAGAGGTGGCGTTGCTGGATCATGTGGAAATTCTGATTTTAATTTTTTAAAACACCATACTCTTTTTCATAGTAGATGCACCATTTTACATTTCTATAACTAGCACACAGGGTCACATTTGAAACAGTCTTTACTGAAAAAAAAATTGAGAAAGCCTCAGATTTGAATGGGAAGAATTTAAAGGTGTCAGACAGATGGCACTTTGGGCTGTTAAAAAAGTCCTTGTCAGGGGCCCGATCTTCTCAGGACTCAGAAAGAAGTTTTCAAGAGATTAAACATAATGAATAGGCCTTTGCTGACCACTTACTATAAACCAGGTGGTTTACTTATGTTACTGCATTTAATGATCACAGCAGGTACTTTACGTTGGAAATAGGGGCTCAGAGATGTAAAAGGACTAACTAGAAAGTGGTAAAACAAGAATTTGAAACCAGGGCTACATGACTCCAAAGCCCATGACTTCTCACAACAAAGGGGCAGAGGACTGGTGAGGAGCAGGGGGTGATGACCCCCTTGCTGTCAGGCCTGGACTTCCTCTGGATATGGAGCCAGTCTGCTTGAAACTGGGGTCAGGGGAGTATAAAGAAGAGAGGGGGGTGGGATACAGGGCTTCTCTTTCTGACCCCACACATATCTCATTTCAATTTAACAGATATAAGTATCTACACTGTATGGTCCAACGAGTTGGGAATGCAAAGATGGCTGCAGTACAATGCCTGCTCAAAATAAAGCACACGTGTAAGCAGCAGACTGATCTTGAGTGGGGCAATGTGGCCTTAACCTGAAGATGGTTGGAAATAATGCACAGATAACTTTCTCATCATTTCTGAGTCCAGAAAGCAGTCACTTTTCATCAGAAAACACCAATTCTGGCAACGAGGTCTAAGAGAGTCTTCCTAGATGGGCCTAGATAGCCTGGCAAATCCACCCATTTAGTGCAGATGTTTGTTTATCGTTTTTAATTCTAGCATGCTAGATAATACTGCATTTACTAACAATGAAATCCTGGAGGCGAAATATTGACTGGGATTCTTTCCAACTAAGCCCCACCAAAGACAGTGTCTTCATGTGGTTTGCTAACAATTCCAGAGCAATGAGATTTGCACCGGGTCTTCCGTCATCTGTCCTATTTCGAGGTAGACTTGGGAGTAGGAAAGGAAAGAGGAGACGACTGGGATCAGGTCAGGAGGCGGCATTCCAGGGAGCCATCCACTGTTTAAAAGTTCTTCCATTTTGACTACTGTTGCTCCCTTTGCCTGCTTCCCGAAGCTAGGCTCTCAGAGCTTTGCTTCCATATGGGAAACCAGGGAGGGGATACTGATGTCTTGTAAGTTGACAACGGAGTATGAAGGAGGTTCATTTAGAACACTGGTGCTTTTGGGGAGGTTTCAAGCCAGCTCTACCAAGTCATTAGACTGCAAGCTAATTAAAGGGAGAGGCTATGTTATTCATATCTGGAGCTGGGCATACAATGCTTGGTGCTCAGTAAAGAGTTACAACATGAACTGTATGTTTGGCTCCCCATGGGGTATGCTTCTATTCAGTACTCAATGCTGGTTGGAACCACCATCAATCAGGCCAGAAACACCCTTTGGCCTTCAGGCCAATTAGAATTTCCAGAGGTTCGGGCCACTGCTGTTTTCTCCCGACCCAGAAAAGTACTAGCCAAAGTGATTGTCTCTGATGCTGGACCATCCTGTCTGGAAGCAATGAAGTGCCTTCTGATTCCAGTTTCTACCAGCAGACAAAGGGATGCTCCTGGGGTGCCAACCCCTTCCTCTGTATCTCACACAATACCCAATAGTCCCTGATTTTATATTGCAGCCTCTGATCCCAAACAACCAGGGGATGGAGGGTAAGAATAAAAATCCACCCAAAGAGATTTCTTCATTGAATGTAAAGAGGTCAGTAGAAAGATGATTGTGGTGATACAACCCAGGCCCCACTGCTGGCCCACCCTGAAACCTCTTATTGCCAGAGAGGGGTTATTTTTACTAGTCTGCTGTTTCAACGGAAAGTCTTGGCTACACCAGCACCCAACAATAATGTCCCACATTTTTCAAAGAAGATGCTTTCCTTATTCCCTTGGCATGGAGGGATTATTAGAAGTCCTTACCATATATAGTTTCTTCTCTCCATAAGAATAAGACGAAGATGTTGGAGCTGGGATGAAGACTTCTTTTCTTTTAAATGAAATAGGAGGAAGACCTCAATTCTAAGCTCTGGGAGATGCATTAAGGGCTTCAAGTTTTTCTTCAAATAAGAATAAAATAGAAAAGAATCTCTCTCTTTTAGTGGATAGTATCTCTTATTTTTGCTGTGTATTTAATGCACGCTTGGTATAAACATGATGCTGACATAATGGATTCCAGAAGAGCACCTTCTAGAAAGTATGCGTAGGTTTGAGTTGGTTCAGGAAAGGGTACCTAAATGAGAAGTAAGGCAGAAGACCAAAGGGTTTGGTCACCCAGGAACTCAGTATATGACATCCCCCTTTGTTCTGCAAATGAACCAAGAGCTAATGGTGTCCCTCAGACTATGCAGACTACGGGTTGCAGAAAGCCCAAGTGCTGGCACGTGCCACAAAGTTCACCTAGTTTAGGTGAGACCAGGCCTAAATATTAGCTCAAAAATACCAGATACCATTTCTGAGATTCTCACCACAACCCATGAGATAGGTATTTTCCATATCTTGTTT